ATGTTGAAGTATTGTTTGAAGATAATATTACATTCATAACTGAAATCACACTTTCAGACTTTTTCTTCTTCTTAATTTCATGATAATTATATGCAATGTGTATTACATTGAAAAGTTAAAATGACACGATATTTACAAATTATCAATAATGTTTCTCTTATTCTCCTCATTTCCATAATATAGCTCGGCAATTTACCAGAGAAGCGTTCGAACAAATTAACAGTGTGCAAAAGTATACTTTGTTTTGTTGCATTGAACAGCTTCAATATGAGAGGTGGAGCTCTCAAGAAACTAAGAGGAGAATTAAGTGAAGTCCATGTAGACTCTCCTTCCCACCATTATGATGTCCAAAAGGAAATGCGGTAATTCATAATAAAGGTGCCTTCAGTCGCCTTTTAAAAAATTCATTAGTTCAATTCAAAGTTAACTAAAATTAAACACAACAATCAAAAAAACACTACCTTTGGGTATACTTCCGTGATTTTGATTTTCGATAATTCTGATATTCACTCTTTAAAAATTTTAGGTGGCCTTCTTCCTCCTTTTTTTTTCAATTCCTTTCAAAAACCAAACCTATTCTTTTTCCTCATTGATTAAAGTAAATGCCTTCAACGAGAGAAAAAACTCTACGAATCGCTTGCCTTATATAGATGAAAAAAATATTTGAAAGTTCACTCAAAAGGAGGATTAATATTCATTTTTTTTGGCAACATCGTTTTAAAATAGATTTAAAATAGGAAAAAGTAATTATATATGCATTTAGTTATTAGGTTAATGTCATTATGTAATAAATTAATGAATATAAAATATCATTAAATAACGACATCAACAATTACATATATTAATGTAACATTTTTAATCAATTCATATACACAAAAATATCAATATATATATATATATATATATATATATATATATATATATATATATATAACTATTGTTTTCTTTTTTCTATTTCAATTTGTTTTTGTCATCCTTTAAACTTTGGTTTTTCCAACCCACTTTTTTGGAATGGATTGTGAGGAAAGTAATTGAGGGAAATTGAAAGGATTTGAGGTAAACTTTTTTATTGTTTATTGAGTGGAATTTGGAGGTAAGGAGAGGGAATTGGAAGTAAGTTTCTGAGATAGTGTTAGATTTGATTGATATGCAGATTAAAAAAATTACTTTCCCAATCTTAGTGAATTTCTGTGCTAAAATATGTTGTTGTTTGAAATCGTAAATAAGAATTTGTAAAAAATAGTTGAGGAACCTTGGCTAAGGAAAGGACTTGGTACTTAAGTTGTCCTTGTAACGCACCTCTTTCCTTGAAGTCCTACCGACAGTTTGTAAATTAATCCTATTGAAATGATATGTACTGTTTTAAATTATGTGCAATATATCTTGTTGGAATGGAAATTTCTGAATGAATTCATGTTATGTGGTAGAGATGGAATTATGAATTATAATGTGATGGTAGGATAGAGGAATCTTAAAAAACCGGAGTTGGTACATCCCTCGATCATAGAGCAAGCCCTGGGCTATGTGTCGATTTTGGGACAAGTGTGAGGAGTAACCTTGTGGATGGTATATGGCGAGCAGGAGGTCCGTGTTATGTGTCAGTTTTGGCATAGTGTTGAGGACTAACCTGTGTGGATGATATTGAGTATTCGAAGTGTATTGTAAAGAAGAATTAGAAGTCCATCACATGCATAACCTCTCGGACCGCTCATCAACATATCATTGGGTAGTAAGTGTTATTGGGATTGTGGAAATGAGTGTCATTGGGTATTGTGGCATGGGTTTTGGTCTCTTAGTAATTGTGGTATTGTGGTATGAGTATCTATGATGCGATTGTTGTAGGATGGATGAGTATCTATGATGCGATTGTGTATGATGGTATGGTATCTATGATGGATTGTTGTGTGATGGTATGAAGTATCTATGATGGCAATTGTTGTATGAGGTAAGAGGGTGTCTGACATAATTAGTATATGAGGTTTGTGAGGTATCAAAGTAATGGAGAATATCTATGATGTTAATGTGTGTGTATGATGGTATGAGGGTGGGTGTCTGACATAATTATTATATGAGGTTTCTTGAGTGTATCAAAGTAATGGTTGAATATCTATGATGTGATTGTTGTATGATGGTATGAGGGTGTCTAACATAATTATTATATGAGGTTTGTTGAGTGTGTACAAAGTAATGGATGAATATCTATGGATGTGATTGTGGTATGATGGTATGAGGGTATCTGACATATAGTAATATGAGTGTGTGAGTGTATCGAAGTAATTATGAATATTTTATAAATGATTGGTGCATGTTAGCTCACCCTATTGTTGTGTTTGGTTTTGTGTATGTGCGATGATCGTATAATTCGTTATACGGGAGCAGATGGAGGGGAATGTCGTCTGATTCGGTGCCAATGAAGAAAGAGATAGAAGAATTCGAGTTATATTTATGAGTTTATAATTGAAATCTGGGTTTAAAACATATATACAATATATCAATTATGAATTATCAAGTGTGAGATTTTGGGATGTTACATGATTGCGTAATAATTATTATAATTCATTCACTTTTATTCAATTATTATTTGGTACTATAATTTAAAATTTATACAATTATCATTTATTTTTAAATAATTGAAATTAAATATATTTTTTATATAAATTATTTGATAATATAACTTTTATAATTTGTATTATATTCACCATAAGTAATATTATATTCAAAACTGGAAAGCACACTTTCAAAACTTTTCTTCTTACATGATAATTACTATGAAATATGTAGTATTATATTGAAAAGTTAAAATCACATATTTATTTTCAAATCATCAATAGATGCTTCTGATATTCTATTTTAATCCTTTCCATCATCCTGCAATTTTCTTTGAATTCGCATTCATCTAAAAGATACAAAAACTCCTTCTCTGACATTCTCGTGATATATATATTCTTTAAACAAAAATCTGTGTTGTGAGCCTCGTAAGTGCTCAAAATATTCTCTCTTTTCTTGTGCATCTTCAGCTACTATTCATACGTGAACAGCTTCTTATAAAGCCACTCTTCTGCACTTTAACATGCCAAATGAACGCTTCAAATACTCACGTGACAATTTCAGCGAATTGTGCTTCCCTAAACAGTTAATAAATCAAAAAGGTATGGACATAATTCTGTGACTGAACATGCTCTTCATCTGCCTGAATCGTATATGTATTCAAATAAAGATTTGTGTAAAAGTAGAATGAAAGTTGAAGACAAAGATTAGACTATCTCAATTAATATATGTTCATTTTGACATGTTTTATGAAGATAATCTCCATTTACAATTTTTCTTTTTCCTTTCTTGAGGAGAAAAACTTGTGAGATAGTATGACATAGAAAAAAGGGTGGATAAATTAATCAAATGGTTTTACACACAAACTTGGTATATCATTTCTTGATTTGATTTTGAGATAATCTCATCACTCTTCGAACTTTATATCTGCTCTTCCTCGTCTTCATCTTTGTGCATGTTGCTGGCCATTTCTCTAAACTCTAGACATTAGCGACAGTAAAAAAATATTTTTGTCAATAGTTAAAGTTTGACTACTTCAATGAGAAAACTCTACTAGTCTCCTCTTTATATAGATCAAGAAAAAAGAGATGAGTACCCTTTATATAGATCAAGAAAAAAGAGATGAGTAGTTGACAGAGCGTTAATTTTAACTTTTTTGAGTAACTTGTTAGGACTTTAAGGCGAGTTGTTAGAAGTTCATATTGAATAAAAATAAGTAAATGACTAACAAAGTATCATTGTTTTAATGTTTCTGGTAGAACTGATTGTCGTGATCTCTTATATGAATTTATACACGACTTATTGATATTGTATTTCCTAGATTTTTCTCATAAGAAAACTCACATAGTAATATTAGGAGTCAATGATTTATCTGATTATGGTTTGGAAGAATATAATATAAAGTAGTAGAAGAATCCTAAAGTTTAAGGATATCTTATGTCGAAAGTTTTTCGTTTCATGAAAGTGTGTTTCGTTGTAAAATGGTTGTACAATGGAATAATAACCAATAGGATACTTATGTTTGAGAGAGAGGAGTTCTAATATAATAAGGAAGAGATTGTTAAAAGTTCAATGAATTAAAGATAAACTTAAATAAATTGACTAATATATAAGTAAAAAACCATTTACTCATTACTTTAATATAAGTTTTGAGTTACAAGCGGTTGTCCTGATAACTCGTGTCATGATATGTGTTATATGACTTATTCAAAACTCTTAGTGTCTTCCGTTACAAGTCCTAATATAATTTTTGTTTTAAATATGTATTTAAAATAAGAAAAGTAATTAATATATACATTTAATTATTAAATCTTGTCATTAATGTAATACATTGATTAATAATCAAGTAATGTCGCGCGTTATATTATTTTTAATCATTAAACATCTCACACGAAATCATACACAGTATTAATGTAAACATAATGAAAACTAATTATTATTCATCTGTGTAAAATATAATACATGTCTTACTTTAATGGATAGATGAAATACGAGCGTTCGTTCGCTGGTGGACGAGCGTTCGTTCGTCATCTCAGCATCCACTCATCAATTTTTTTAACGCCGTCCAGCCAACTTAACGGAAAGGACTCAATTGATATCAATTTTCAAAATTAAACACCATTTTGATACACTTTAAAAAACGAGGATCCAATTGAGAAATTCGTACATAAATAGGGATGTAGTAAAGGATTAAACCAAATTTTAAAAAATTAACAATTATAGTACTTAAAATCTAATTGAATTTCGAAAGTGAATATAGTTCTTAACTGTATTTTGAAATTTGATAAACTTTTTAATCAGATTTTGAATGGTCGAGTTTGAAAATTTGGTGCGTCATGAAAAAAAAGAACGATGTGTGCTGGTATCGCAGTGTCAGGGTAAGGGAGAGGAAGACTTGTTTGTGCACAGTGTTAGGATTAACAGAAAGTGAATGAGAAAAAATGGGTAAGTAGAATAAATATAAGAAAAAAAAATTACCATAGAAAGTTCTGGATAAGTCGAGGCATTTAGGAAAAAAGTTTTCAAGGGAAAAATGGAAGTTCCAGATACGAGGTCCTTAGTCTCGGAATGTGAGCAACCTTTTCCCAGTCTTTACCTCCTTTCCTGCAACGTTCTTCCAACAAAAAACATAAATGTATAGAAAGATCCGAAATTGATTTAGGAAGACCCTCCTCTGGTAATTGTTGAAGCTTGGGGCAGTTCGAAAGGGTTAGACTTTGAAGAAATGAGAGTTGATTGAGAACCCTGTAGTCCAGTTTTTGTAGATTTGGAAAATTACGGATGACTAGTTCAGTAAGAGAGAGTGGAAGCAAACCTTCATCAGGAAAACACTCGGCATCCAGATGTTCAATATGTAACGTTTTCAAAGACGGATTATCTCCGAAAGCTACTTTCAGTGAGCCAACAAGTCTAGAGCATTTACTGAGTGTCATCTCTTTTAGATTTGATGGCAAACCTCCCTCAGTGAAAGGCTCAAGTTTTGGACAATCACTAATGTGTAAACTCTTGAGCATATCCCAGTTTTCAGGCAATGATTCAATTTTAGGGCAGTTACCGATTTGCAGCCAGTCCAGATGATTTTGTGCGTGATTTTGTGAAATCATCCGTAAACTATTTAACCGCCAGAGAGTAAGCGACTTTAGTGTCGGGAAGAAATCTAGTGGAAAGTTCCACAGAGAGACAGAGTCACCAATAATTGGAGGACGACCCCAACTGGATCCATTAATCTTCAAATGTTGAATAGAATTGTCGGGTATGTTATCCCGAACCATATCCAAGAATGATGCTTCCATGATGTACCCAGCCAATCGGAGGCTTTTCACTGTAGCCCAATCAAACAACACCTTTGCACTTTCTTCCAGTTTTATATCTAGAGCCCTGGGAGCGAAAGCCTCAAGTTTTTGGCAGTAACTAATGCATAGTTTTTCCAAAGGAACAAGTAGCTCTGGCAGCTGTCCTTTCAGCTTGGGACAATACATTATAGAGAGCATTTGTAGACATGGAAAAGCACCTGTCAAATCTTTACATTCCCATTTTTCCCATTCTCCCATATTGGAGAAATACAATGTCTCAAGGGATTTAAAGGAAGAAGAATTGTTCCCATGAAAATCAGCATCAATATTCACTATCCCATGAAGTTTTTTAATTTTCAAGTCCTTAAGAGATGGCAAAAGTCCAAGGGGAGGTAGACGTTTGCAATATTTACATTCCTTCAACACTAAGGACACCAGATATGGTAATGAATTATCAAGTAACCAATTTGGAAATTGTGCACCCATATAGCTCCTTATTGACAACTTCTTCAAGTGTTTTGAGGGTTGTAGATTTTCAATTACATCCCCAGCTTTTGTTGAATCAACTGAGGAGCTGTCACTCCATTTCCAATTGAACACTAGCTCCACAAGCTGTGGTTTGTTCTTCAGGTATGCTTCTGATGCATGAGAGGAATCCTCAATATTTTGCAGCCCACTAATGGATAAACTTCCGTGAAGATTGATTTGTCCCAATTGTTGAATACTGAGTTCCTTATGCATGTCAACACAAAACGAATTCATCAATACTTGGAGATTCTTCAGCTTTCCCAAAATATGCACATTTTTCACTTTAGTATTCAATAGTTCTAGGAAACACAATCTGTCGAGTTGAAGCAAACCTGAGGGAAGCTCCTTTAATCTTTCACAATAGTTTAGCTTCAGTGTTTGCAACTTGTAGAGTGAACTTATTGAATCGGGTAGTTTTTCTATTTCAGTATAAGAGAGATCTAATGAACGAAGATGCTTAAGATTTCCAATAGATTTAGGCACCTCTGTAAACCTAAGAAAGCCATTCAGTGATAAGACGCGTATGTACTTAAATTTTGAAAACAAGTCATCTATCGACATATTGCACCGCCAACAGGACATAGAAGGAGGATACCTTCTCCAACTTGTTTGTACAAATGTATGCAACTTTTGAGAGTCAATCAAATTTCCAAACCCATCAAAAATTTGAATAAGATCGGTTGCAAATGAAAAATGACGAGTTCTTTTGTGTATTCCTTGTGGTTCATCGACTCCAAACCTGATGCAACTGTCTTGACAAAGGTATTTTGCTAAATCAATAAGAAGGTCATGCATGATAAAAGTAATTTTCGCTTCCTTGTTTGATTGTTGAAAGAAAGACAATGATAATAGGTCGTTGAAATACTGTTCACCAACTTCTTTAGGACTCGAAGAGCTTTCCAGAAAATTTTCAGCCATCCACAGTTGAATTAACAAGT